CCAATTAACCTGATTACCAATTGGACCAAGGAATTCAAATCTAAAGTGTGTAAAAACAGGAGGGTTACCCAATTTCTTAAAAGATTGGTTTGTGTGCTTGCACTGAAATAAGTAAGCATTATACAATCCCCACCATAAATTAGGTTGGACATGTAGGGCCAGTAGGGGTGCTCACAGTTCAGTTCAGTGAGCTTTCTTTTCTTCAAACCAAACCTGTCCTTAAACTTTTAAAATATCCTGACCAAAACCAAACTGATTCAACCGGTTAATCAGTTAACTGGTTTCAGCTTTTGACAGATTCAATTCTTCAGCTTTTTGTAATTTACATTTATAATATATTATAATAAAGTTTCATGGTTCCCAAGATCTACTGGTTCGGTTTTACAGAAAGAATGGGGAAAGGAGGAGAAAGATCTACTAGTTTGATTTTACGGTTCTGTTTTACGGAAAACACCACAGACGACATAGTGGCATACTATGGTAGTTTGGAGAGAAACTTTGAAAATATATTGAATCAAGAAAATAACCTCCGAAGAACAGCAAGATTTTGGATTATTCAAACCATTTGCCAACTAAGAGTTATCACTTCCAACAATCATCTTGAAAATCTGCATATTACTCAACGCTTTAACCATACTTCTGCCATTAATGAATTTGGAGCTAGACACAGGCATCCCTTGAAACAAACCAGCAGATCTGAGGCCCCGTTTGGTTTGTGGGAATAGGGGTCTGGAATCAGAATCAGAATGGACTATTCTGATTCTAACTGTTTGGTTGGATGGAATCGGAATCCCATTCCCATTCTTGCTGGAATGGCATTCCCCCATTTGAGGGAATGGCCTTTCCCTGCCCCTACCTTGCAAATGAAATCCCATTCTTGCTGATTTCAATTTCCATTCCCATTCCTGTCTGAACCAAACAGACTATGGGAATGGACCATTCTGATTCCGATTCCGATTCTGACTATGAACCAAATGGACCCTGAGATTCTGGACTCTCAACCCTAACTATCACAAACACTTCTAATACAATTTTACTTGAATAAAAAAAACAACCCACCAATAGGTTCCAAAGGGACATTGTCTTACTTTTTTTTTCTACTTTTTGGGTAGTGATAACCTGCAATAGACGGGTATAGAGGGTGATTAAATGAATCTACTTTTGTCTGGGTAAATGTCATTAGATATACCCAAATCTTGGGCAAGAATCGGCAAACAATACAATTTAATATTTTTATAAATCATAATAATATCATATATATGTATGTATGTATGTATCAGTTAACTGCCAGTTTTTCATTTAGGTTAATTGAAACCGAACCAACTGGGTCGGTTAACTGCATTTTTTTGGTTCAATTTCTCAGTTTTGATCAGCTTCTTGGTTTTTCAGTTTTTCATGAGCACCCCTATGGACATGTACCAACCCAGTCACAGATTAGGCTATATTGACCCAAAACCTGGAAAGTTATGTGAATATGCAGGTTGACAAACAATTGCAACCACAAAATATGAATATTCACTTATAAGCATACTGTAGTCACTGAATAGCTTAAGACTTACTTTGAGCACTTAACACTATTGGTAGTGCCACCACTAGATACTGATAGAATAGTCCCAAAGAAGGAAACATTTTCTGTACCACAGTTCGGACAGGGGCCCTGGAAAATAAGATTGTTAAGAATGGAAATGCTAATCAGCATAATATAGGATACCGATTTTACCTTATTAGATACATCAATGGAGATTTTAATTTATACCTTTAAAATCAAGAAGTCTTTCACGATGGCATTTGTGATTGATTGGGCTACCCAAAATATGAGGGGCAATGCTGCAAACCATGTGAAAATGAAACTAAATGGCTCTGGAAGCTGCATTGGAATGAAAAATAAAGACATTTTATTTCAGAAATGAAAATACAAAATAATGCACTTAGCCATAGTGAGTAAAAGAAGCCATTACATCAGGAACTAATTCTCACAAAAAATGCATGGTATGACAGTATGAGACTAAATAATAAAAGCTTTCTATCAAGCAGTAAAACCCAAATTCAAAAGATGTAATATTTATGGTAGTGAATAGAACATTCAATTTTATGCTATGCAAGTCCCTTTTTAGGCAAGTCTCTGATGGATGAACAACTGATGAGAATTAATCTACCTAGTCCTACTCTCCTACTTGCACATTATGTCAAGAAGAAAACAGAAATGGCCAATCAGTTGTTCCTGCAAATTCGGCACAAGTATATTTCCCCATTTTTTAGGATTAGATGGTGTTTTCCAAGATCCATTTTTGAAGCTTTCTCTTGTCAGAATGTGAAAGGCCTAAATAAGAGAGGCAAAGCTTTGTGGAACACCTTCCTTTTGTGATTTTTTGGCTGATTAAGGAAGAGATGAATTTACAAGTTTTTTTTTTTATTATTTTTTGAAAATCAATCCTGTCTAAACAAAGCAGTTCAAAAGCACTTCCAGGTATAGTGGTTGACTGGTTGCTTAAAATTTAACTTCTATAATCTAATGATCCAGCATATTGGAATGATGTCTTACCAATCCTTGAAATTTAAAGGACAACATGTCACTGATAACTGAACTTGAATCTAAACAACTTTGGTAAACCCAAAGGCACTTCAGAGGTAGATTTGATGACAATATATTAGTAACTTTAATATGACTGAACAAAAGTTGGATAAATACAAACCTCCAAAAGATATGTGATCTCAAATCCAGTTATATCATCGAGGAAAAAAAACCTGTTAACATCAGAAAAGTTATCATGAGCCAAATGATGAAAAGTTATCATGCCCATTTATCTTGTGGGATAGATCCGAATTATTCACCTCTGAATTTCAAATAAGCTGAACTTATTAAAAGAATATGTTATTAAAGGGAAGGGTCATGATTATCAATTAAGAACCTTTTGAGACTCAAATGCCTTGTTCAAGTTACACGAGTAATCTATTCTTCTTCCTTGTCAGTTGTGTACATTCAGGATAATGATGTTGTTATAGTTTGGTCAAAGAGAAGGCAAAATTTTGGACACTATGTACTCTTTAGCTATTGCATAAGTATAATGTTAGAGACTTAACCTAAAAACTGTTTGATGTGAGAGAAACAGGAAAAAAATTGAATCCTAATAAATATAGCATCTTGACATACTGATCAAAAAGAAAAGAAAAAAGTATTGCATCTTGATACTTGGCACTGAAAGTAATATTCTCATATATATTCTTGTACACATTTTAGTATGCTGCTTTTCATTTTTTATTTTTACATTTTCCTTATAATCACAGGAATTATGTAACTGCACATTATGACATTGAGAAAAAAAAGGATTGATAGATCTCATACTGATAAAAGGAACATAAATTTCCTGTACTCAAAGGGTATCATCTTTATCAACAAACTTTCTAGTGTAATATTGGGTTGACAAGTCTGATAATAATGGTACAAGACTGAGAGAGGCCAATTTGTGCAAAAGAAATGCCCAATGTAATGTCTATATCCGGTCTACCCTTCCCAAGATCCCAAATAGCCATGACCATCATTAGGTAATGGACCTTTCTTCACTTATTCAGCAAGTGAAAAACTTCTAGAATAAAAACAGGTTCTAAATTATCCATTCTTGAATGAATTTATATGTTTATTGTCACCAATTATTTTTCTCTTGGTAACTACACAAATGTTACAGCATCCATGGGTTGCTGATATTGCTCCAAAAACAAGTTGAGTCAACTTAAACATGAAGTAGTATTTGAACTCTATTGCATTATGGGTTGACTGAATGAAAAACAAACTTACAAAGTACACAATCCCAATTCTTGATTAGAAGAACAGTTATTAAAATGCGTGATTCAATCAAGTAATGATGCAATGTTTAGGCATATATGTTCATTTATTTCTGGAAAAGTGAATAATTAAATGAGAAAGAGATCTGTTATAATCAAATGTCAATCAGAGATTAGGTATATTTGGTGGCTTAAGCCAAGAAGCAAAAAAGTTATGAATTGTCAATAATGGAATAAACAAAATGGTTATGAAGGTTGTGATTTCTCTCCTCCAATTTAATGCACAGACAACAATGCTACTTACAATGTTAAAGCAACAACAGCAGCTGGGACATTCAACAGGAACATCTTGAAATAGTCAACAGAAAGGTCACTGTACACCTGTAAGTACAAAGTCAATCACTAAAGTATTGAAGAAATAATTTAGATTTATCTGGTAGAAATTAATTAATTACTGCATCAATATCATGAAGCAGTCTATTTGAGTCTGTGTACCAACCATAAAAAAGTAAAGAAAATAAGCTCTGAAACATACAGAGCAAATACAATGTCAAATTAATTGTATGGGCTCATGCTTTTTTTTATTCTTCATGGCCCTTTCTTGTACATCAACTCATGTACATCCTTCACTCCTTTTGATATTATGAGTACAAGTTACCATTTCTCTCAAAAAATATCCAATTTCATGCAAAATTGAACTTTTAGAATGTATTAGTAGTAAACTCATAATACTGTTTTTTATAAACATAGAACCTGAAGCTAAACAACCAAATATATACAGATTGTTTATTTTCTGCAAGCTGGTCAAGAGGTTCAAACATTAATTTGCAGCTGGGTGTTAAGCTAGTTCAACTGGAAATGGTTATAGATTTCCTAGAAGTCTACTAGATCATTTGTATATTTTTCTGAGGACATCCTTTAACAGTCAGGCATTATTTTAGATTGATAACTATTATACTTTAGTCTCATAATATTTACATGTAAAGTTTCATAATGTGGATTTTGAACTTGACTCACTATTATCTAAATTGAGATGAAATACACCTCTCAACATTCTAATCCCTAGTGGCAAGGCACGGACTGTTTTGCTTTTGTAAAGTTGTTAGTGAAGTGAGGTTTTCAAGGTGGCTATTGGTTCAATTGGTTTAGTGTTTATGTTAGTCTTATTTATGTTTTAAGTTCTTGAGCTTATTATGGGCCTTAGTTATTGGGCCTAAACTTGTTTTATTCCTTTTATGTCTAGGTGTCCCATCACTAATCAGGGGCATTCTAGCCCTTTCTTGTAACATTACATTATGAATACTTATATAAGGTTCTAG